GCGCTGATACAACTTCCCAGGTAGAGGAATTTCCGAACGACTTCTAGCTGATCCCCATCAAGGTTCACCGCGGGAGGCGATCCCTGCCATTCTTGGAGGAACGCTTTGCATTTCGATGGTGCAAAGCAAAGCCCGAAGCGGCTGACAGCCAGCGCTAATCTGTCCAGCGCGGCCTAGCACGTCTGGGAGCTGTCACAGATGAGGGCAATGTCGTCTGCTTACTCCAAGTCAAGAAGTCGTTCTCCTGGAAGTAGCTCCACACCTTCCAAGTCATGTCCTGTAAACGCAACCTCCATGACTTCGTCAATAGCGAACTTAAACAGAAAACGTGACAGCGGGCATCCTTGTCTCACGCCGCTGGAGATATTGAAGGGTGGCCATAGGTTGCCGTAAGCCCTCACTCTGCCCATGCTACGCGCGTATGATGCTCGGATAATATTTACATATTTCTCGGACACACCTTTCTTGAATAGACAATTCCAAAGGGCATATCGATGAACCGAATCGAAGGCACCTTTGATGTCGAGGAACACGACTACGGTAGGCCGCCAATATGTGGGACGGTGCACCAACAACTGACGCAAGGTGAAGATGTGGTCGATGCAGCCACGACCCCGACGAAACCCGGCTTCCTCCTCACGAATCTGGCTTTCACGAGCGCCAGTCAGTATGTGAAAAATTATGGAGGCGAGTAATTTGGAGCCGATGGAGATCAGACTGATTCCTCTATGATTGCCGCATTCAGAACGCGAGCCTCGTTTGAAAGTGGGAACAATAACCGAGCGGCTCCAGTCTCCTGCTCCCACAGTTTCACTAGTAATTCGTGTAAAGCATCAACAAGAGCAGAGCCTCCGAATTTGAAGAGGACTGGATGAAGATCATCTGGTCCCGCGGCTTTGTTCAACCTCAACGGTCCGATCTCACGTTCGACTTCTGAACGAGAGGGTGGATCTAAAGCGACAGCCCACGGAACAGGGTGATAACTGAACGGCGAAGAATCGAACAATCCTAACCGATTAAATTGCTTTTCAAAATGCCCAGCCCAACGCTCTAAACGTTTTGACAAATTGTGGATAGGCTGTCCACTCTCATCACGTATGGTTTCACTAACACTAGGTCTCCTGCTGCAAGTTTCCCGTATCAGACGGAATAACTCACGATGGTTACCAAGGGCAGCGGCCACTAAGATTCGCGGTCCCTTTTCAGGCTAGCACGGAGTATTGCCGGGAGCAGTTTGCGAGTTTCATTGTGTTCGTTTCCAGCCGGGATATGCCGGCGAGCGTCGATAAGTTCCAGAGACCGCGAAGAGACCCAATGTCCATGTTCGCTATTAGACATACCACATAAGGATTTGCCTGCTGCTAGTAAGGTCTGGCAAATATGTGACCCCGTGACCATCAAATGTCTCCAGTGAGCCAGTACTCAATTCGTATATCAGCGTACTTCGATACGCATTCAGAACAGCTGGCTTTGTCAGTTGGCTGGTGTCAATGCGCTCACAGCGTCGTCGCGGGCGTCCGCCAAAGTGCATCCGCATGTCAGCACATACAATTGCATGATCAGTGTCCACACATGTGCTCCAAATCGAGCGACAGTTCTGGATGCAGCCTCTCCATCGGTAACTTATCGCAATGTGATCGATTTGCGTCCATAGCTGATTCGAGGCTGGTGGGCGCCAAGTCACCCTCCGGCGGGTGCTGTGTCTGAAATTAGTGCTCGCAAGAAATAAACGGGCATCTTCACATAAATGAACCAACCGCTCACCGTTATCATTATGGGAGCCTACACCGTACTGACCGCCCAAACGCATTTCATCATTGGACAACTTTCCAACTTGTGCGTTCACATCCCCCGCCAGCACAACAGTGTCCGTGCTTCTTCTATGGCGAAGGAGCCCGTTCTGTTGGCAGTAGAAGTCGTTCTTTACCGAACCATCGCTACAGTTTGCGGGCGCGCAGGCAGCGATGATGCATAGACACCTGTTAGTCCCACGCGACTTCGAAGTTATGAACGAGCCAGCCAATCGGACCGCACACATCCGGCTACTGATTGGAATCCAATCAACCAGAGCAGCTTCAGCCCGGGGACTCAGAGTAATGACAACACCAGATTGGCCGGTGCTCGAAGCTGCATCGTCACCGGATAGGCGCAATGAGAAAATACTGCTTGCTTCCCCTGATGGAGATCGCAGAGTGAGCACAGAGCTTGAGTCTTGCAGGCGGGTCTCTGAGAAGCAGCAAATATCGATGGAGACGGTGTCTAAAATTCGGGCAAGTGCTGCCTGTTGACCGATCTGTAGTAATGTGCGAACATTGAGGCATGCCAATCTGAAGGAGGATCGAGGGCTCCAAACGCAAGCCGATGAACTGGAATGGGCCGCTTAGTTGGACATGGGCTTGTCGACAAGAGAGGAGTGACGCTCCGCGTTAGCATGTGAGCTGAAACTAGAAGATAAATGCCTAGCAAAGCATGTTGGGGGAGGGCCAAGAATCGGGGGGTTGAAAACCAAGTAAAGTTGGAACGAAACGGTAAGAGCGAAAAAGCGTAAGATGGGGAATAAGAAGGCGGGAGGGCTTGAGCAGTAGCATACACACGCCTATCCATCTTGCTCGATGCAGCAGATAGGGCACCGTTGATTATCCTCTGCGGTGGCCAGAGCATCAAGAAATTATTTGACGAATGATTCGTAGTATTGCGTGGGCAGGATACTGTCAGGTTGCCCAGGCCTAGACAGGAGAACGATTAGGGTTCTCAACCAAAGCCTTTGGTTAAAAAACCTGACCGCAAAGCAGCGGGTTTGGCGTTGGGCTACAAGTCCGTTTTAAGGAATAAGGTGCCGCCCTCATTCCAACCCCCAGCCTGGAGGATCAGGAGGCTGAATTTCTCTGGCCTCTAACCATTGAGCAATCAGCTATGAATGACTCTGAAGGTGCAAAAGCACCACCCAGCATAGCTCAATGGATCGCTGAGGCACACAAACCATCGCACCACGGTAAGGTCCAGCCTCATTGCCGGGAGGAAGAGGCTGGCGATAAGTCTTAATTGGAAGAGATGTCAAACAGAATTGTTTCCGGTCTTCCGGTGGCTAACCAACAGATGAAGCGAAAGCTTACTGAATTGCTTCTGACCGTAACCTCAGCGTCAGATTATTGGACCGATTAGTGCAACTGGGTCGCTTGGAGTTTAGTGCGTGGATGGTATTCGCTCTATTTTCGATCGAAATATGCCAATATGTTTAATGTGAGATCAGTGGAAATTAACCAAAGAAAGGTAAGATATAAGCAGTAAGTTGGTGGACTGCATCAACGCTTCACTGTCACTCGATCGTACCAGTTGCGAGCGACTTCGGTGAACCGCGAAGTCGCTCGCATATGAGTGGATTCGAACCAGCAACCCCAAGAACGTCATCATCATCATTCATCATTATAAACATTAGCTAGAGGTGGAAAACATCACAGCTACTGTGCCGTTTGGGTGGAGGTGGGCTAGTCGACAAGGCAGGAGTGAGGCCCCGCGTTTGCATGTAAATTGAAATTAGAAGCTAAACGCCTATCTAAGCAAGGTGGGGGAGGGCCAAGAATTGAGGGATTCAAAACAGGATAAAAGTGGAATTGGAACGGGACGATAAGGATGAAAAAGCGTAAGAGGGGGAATAAGAAAAGGGGAAGGCTCGGGCAGTATCATCCAAACCCCTATCTACCCTGCTCAATGCAGCAGATAGGGTGGCATTTAGTATCCTTTGTGACGGCCAGAGATGCAAAAAATGGTTTAATGAAGGTTTCATAGTATTAAGTGGGCAGGATACTGTCAAGTTGCGCAGGCCAAGAGAGAACGATTAGGGTTCTCAAAGAAAGCGTTTGGTTCATTCCAAGCCCCAAGCTGGAGGACCAGGAGGCTGAATTTCTCTGGCATCTAACCATTGACCAATCTGGTATGAGTGGATCTGAAAGTGCAAAAAAGCACCGTCTAGTATAGCTCAATGGATCTCTCTCTGAGGCAGGCAAAACACCGCACCATGGTAAGGTCCAGCCACAATGCGACGGACCATAGGAACGTAATCCCTTCGGCCACTGGCCGACATGAAGGTGCTTACGTGAATTGAAGCATAACGACCAGCTGATATAAATAAGACTCTGTCATACAGTACAACCGTTTAGTAAGATGCACAGCTATATACATGAATGCCAACTCCATATAATGATGTGCTTTTGCTCAAGTTTAATCTCGGACGACTTGTGCATGCAATGCAAACAATGATAGCTTCGCGAATGATACAGTTCAGGCGTCACTTGTACACTATCTTACTGACGTGTACTCGCCCATTGAAACCATATTTCAATCTATCCCTGTGCAGGAATAGATTTCCGCACCGTCAACTGTTTAAGACCCAATTCTTCAAACTGCAGGAGTGGCGATGTCATTTGTGAAAGCGTTGTGGGTGGCACTTGAGGTTCGCGAAGTGCAGAGCCTCACAAGTCCCCACAACATATCTCCACCGATATCATCAGCTGAAACAGCAACAATGATCCCGATTTAAGCCTCGAAGATCACCAAAAAACAGTTGAGTCGAGTACGAACGATGACCTGTTTTCGTACACATAAGCAAAAAATACCATCATGGCTAGCGTTCGGGAGCATTCAAGTACAGAACCGATGAAACGTTACTTCAGACATGGACATGGAAAATTGACTGAACTCCAAGTCGTTAGAGAATTACCACTGATGGGAAACACAGGATAAGAAGATAACCAGTGGCTCGGTGGAGATGGTGCGCCCGACTACTTGCTGGGATAAGGAAGAAACAACGCAGAACACAGGTAGTGAAGTAACGAGAGATAGCTAAGTGGGATCCGCATGGGTCGCACAGTACCGTCTGAAGGAATAACATCCGTCATATAGTGAAGTAAGTAAAGACCTATCTGGAGTGCATAAAATCCAAACAGGTATAGAGAAGCGAGAAATTGTCAAGCATTGGGTGGTAAATGCCTCAACCACTTTACCTTGAAGTCGTAGTCCAAACCCGCGGAGGCCAACACAGGTAAAGTGGGATGGGATTCAATGACGTTGACAGCACCATGGGCATCAGCATGCAGCCACTGGGTAATCCCTTCGGATTCGCGGTCCCAAATGTAAAAGAAGCCGTCATCGCTACCACTAATCACGTACTCGCTGTTTGGCCCGAAAAAGGTGGCGCTGACAACTAAAAAAGAAGCAATAAAGATATATAAGGAATAGAAGAGTAAAAAACAATGCATCATTTCCCGAGGGCAGAAAATGTAAACAAGTGGCGTACACAACAGTGGTTACACAGTGGTTGAATCATACGATTTTCGCACCTCAGACCGTGTTCAGCGCCAGGTAAACACAGTGCTGTGTGGTAACAGTCGCATAAGAGTTGAGTGCCATTGGTATTCAACCAAGGTCTTGAAAGCTAGTGTCATTCATGAGAGGTGTGTGAACGAAAGAAGAGGCAACAAGAAAAGTCAACAATGTTGCCAGGAGAACACGAAGGATATATATATATGGTGGTTGGCGGCATCCGGTTTCGGATTTGCCTGATATATATATATATATATATATATATATATATATATATATATCATTCGCGTTCTACTGACAACACAATCTGTGGTACAGAGATTGTGCCGTCAGAATCATGGCGAAATAAGATAACAGGATATGAATAGGAAGAAAAAGAACATGGAGCATCTTTCAGTAGTTTTTCACTTAGTTTTGAGTGAAATTAATTGTGTGTTTTATTCGGATAGAGAAATCACCGCAACACGCCGATAGACACGTCCGCCATTGACGTCGGTCCTGAACCATGACTTCTAGGATCTCCGATAAGCGACACTTCGTATCTCTGAAATCCCAACCAGAGAGTCAAGAACAACCGACCGAGGCCAACTGTTTCGTCAGCTTTTTCATGTGGCTTCTCCATGTTGTAGGTTGTCCACCGCGTTATCTCCTCTAGTCCTGTCCAGCAACCGCGAACAACGTCCGACATGGAAGACGTTGTGCGGGCATGCATAGTACATGTCCAAGCACCGCAGCGGGATGAGCTCCTCAAGAGAGTAGCTGCCTCCACCCAAGATACGCTGTCTAACTTACACATTGGTTACATGGTGAAGCAACCACACACGGGCAATGGACCGCAAGCAACGGTGCTCAAAGACAGAGACGGCGCAGATCAACGATACGAACAGACCAAGTCTCACAACCGTGCAACAGTATAGCGCGGACAGTCGCACAAAAACCCGCGCTTTGACGGATAGACGGATGTCATGGCGGCGTCCCGAATGCCTCGGTTTAGAGAAAGGGAGGAGAACTCGTGAGATACGCAACGAAATCTCGCCTCCAACAGCTCCACCTGCTGTGACACAGTTACGTAGGAAGGCAAAACTCTCACTAACCTCCAGTGTCGCACCACCATGAGTGCACGCACAGGCATCTGAAAGTCTTGGAAAAGTTTCGCATTTGGATGGGGAAAAAGTCATCCCATACTTTGACGCTTCAATCGCCAAGCGGTTGAGTTCAGGTTGGATGGCCTATGGACCGTCACCCAACAAGACGATATCATCAGCGTAGTCCAAGCCAACTTGGCAACCTGAGGAGCATAGCGCCAGCGCTCAACGAATTATCCAGAGCATTCTTTAGGACATCCTCAATGGCAAAATTGAAAAGGAATAGGGAGATAAGGCATCCTTGCCGAACTCCACTGGTGACAACAAAAAAGCGAAAGCTTGTTATAAGCCCTAACTCTAACCGAGGTCAGACTGTACACAGCGAGCAGTACGGAAAGGAACTTTCACGGGACGCCATCCCTCAACAAACAGTGTCATAATGCAGACCTGTCCACAGAATCGAAGGCAGCACGGATATCAGGGACACGACAATCGTTGGTTTTTGGATCTGGCGGAGTGTGAAGATTTGGTCGGTGCAGCGGCGGCCAGGACGGAACCCAGCCGGTTCTTTCCGCTGTAGCGATTTGCGCATTGGGGATAGCCTTCGAAGTATGATGGACAGCAGAACCTTACAAACGACGGGAACCAAGCGGATAACCTTGTAGTTGGAGAAACTTTTGTGCGCATGTCCTTTTTGAAGATGGGGACGACTATCGACTCACTCCGAGGTGGTGGAACCTCTTCTGTCAGCCAGACTCCTGAGAACAAAGCAGTGAGTTCTCAAACAGACGAATAGCCGCCATCTTTAAATAGGGGCGAGGTAAGCCATCAGAGCCCGGTGTTCTATAGCGCCGCAAGATTCGGAGTTCCTGCCATATTTCCTGGTGAGGAGGATTTGTGGGGACAGACCACTCAGCATCAGTGAGTGCTCCACGGGAAGCAAGTTTCATCTTTCTAGCACGTTCACACTACTAGGTTTCACGGTTCTTCTGAAGAATCCTGCGCAAGTCTCAATCTAGGGATCGCCGTTCTTCAGTACAGCTAAAATCGGCCGGGACCGAGGGGCGTCTGATCATCAGCCAAAAGGAGACATCAGTGATCTAGCTTTTCAGCGGGTGGTGGGTGACTCCGCAACTATCAATGCTGGCAGAAACTAAAGCATTTTTGATGCGCACCCACCGTGAATTCAGATCATCATCAGAAGCTGGAGTAAGCAGTGTTGACAGGGAGGCCTGGCATTTCGCTAACGTCGCAGGGTCTTGTAAATTTTCTACACTCGGGCGGTACTGTGTACACCTAGGCGGTCCTCCGAATCGCATGCATAACTTAGCGCGAACCAATGCGTGATTGGAGTTGAGATAAGTTGACCAGTAGGAACGGCAGTCTGATACGCTTGCGCGCCATCTGTAGCTTATCGCGATGTGGTCGAGCTGGGACCACTCTTGCGTTTGAGAAGGCAGACGTCAGGTGGCAGTCTGCCTTTTCGAGTGCCGAAAACTGGTGCCCGAAAGGAACGCGATGATCAGAACAAAGAGCCAGTAGTCTGTCTCCAGTGTCTGACTGACTGCTATCGAAGCCAAAACTATTCCTAAGATGGTGCTCGCTTAGTGTCAGGTGGGGCACTCGAGCATTTAAGTCTCCGGCAAGAATGACAATACCAGACGTTTTAGCGGAACTCGAAGGGTCATGTAGTTGTTGGGAAAAGCAAACCTTGAGTGCATCCGGGCTGTAGTTTGTAGGAGCGTAGGCGGAGATGACAAATAAAGCGCGTGTAACATCTCGACGCTTACTTACATGAAGCTTAAAGTCTGACTGCACATAACCGACTGTTGACTGGAGTCCATTCAAGCAGAGCGAACTCCGACTTGTCACTCTGAGCAACCCCAACACCAGCCTGGCCAGAAGCGGTAGCCTCTGAGCCACCGGACAGGCGCAAATGGTATTTGATGCCAAGGTTTACAGGAGAGGCCATTCTGATGACGATAGTGGAGTCCTGCAATCTACTTTTCGAGAGGCAACTGATATCCACATAGAGCGTCTCAAGAGCGCGGGTCCTGCATGCTTGCCCTCCGATCTGCATCAGAGTGCGAACATTGAACACTGCAAGGCTGAATGAAGAACCAGTTCGAAGAAAAGCTGGGGCTTCGGTGGAGTGTGAAAAGGCTGTGATCACCGGGCATCGAACACGAAGTTTGACTCTGACTTACGTAAGGTGCGACCAGTGAGCTGCTGTTGGCGGTGACCGGGTAGAACATAAGTGTAGGTGAATAATGGGACGTGCGACGATCTGTGAGTTGAGATTCAGCAATAGGAACAGTAGAGCAGGTATACATGGCAGGAAAGAAAGCAGTAATGCTGTCCGTTCATTATTCATCAGTGGGCGCGGTACTACCCGGTTACCCAAGCCGAAGTAGAGGGTTGTCTTAAGGGGCCGTACCCGAAGCCTTTGACCAAGGATCTAACCTACAAGGCAGCAGGGCGATATGAGGGCGTCGCAACCCGTTGGGAGCCGGTGACCAAAAAAGTGGTTCATACTGCAAAGGACCAGCGACCCAACACACCCAGAAGCAACAATGCCACTCAGGGAGAGGCAAGGAGCAATGGCTTTATTTAATGGCGAGTCACATCCGTCACGTCACAGTGTTGTTAAGCGGATATAAGTGGCTTTTATAAAGAGAACGCTTGCTAAGGCGAAAACTCACCACGTCCTAGAACACTGTCGCCGAACTATTCGCTGGAACGGGGTAATCCCAAACCACCCAGTTGGCATCACGAGGTTGTTCGGCCAGCCAGTTTGATGTGGCCAAAACCAACCGGTGTGAGGCTATCCGATACATCCTGCTAGTGGTATGGGCTGATACAAATGCTAAGGGTTGAATGCTAAGATCCCGTACCCAGTTGATTCATTGAAAGGTAGCATGGAATGAGCAATTAATCACTAGCTCGATTTATCTATGCTTCGTGCAAGACACCGGCTATTCCTATATGGTTCCCAAAGCCGGCTCTTCGGCTCGCTTGGAGAGAGTGCAAAAGTCAATTGTGGATTCAACAGAAATGCTCAGCTATTTCGCAGTGAGGAAATTGAAGGTTGTAGAAGTACACATCGATTATACCTCGGTCTCCTCATGGACAGAAAACGCGGTATACCATGGGAAGGATAGCATAACAGAATCTCGAAGATATAGTGCCATTCCAAACTCTCGGTAAGTCCATTGTAGAATCACGTAAATAAAACCAATAAGACAAAAATTTAGTAAGACGGAAGAAGCTGAAATTAAAACAAACCCCATATCAAGGTCCCCAATGAAAGAGCTTAGGTGATAAAGATTAGCAGAGACTCGCGCGTCAGTCGATAGATGCCAGTGCCAATGCTGCTGTTGGCGGACTAGGCAATCAAAATATTCGAGGAAAACGGTAGTCGGTTGTTTCGTCTCCGCAGTTTAATACATTCAATTAGGAAGTAGGTAGCAATATCATTATCTTCCTAAACTATTTTGATCGATCGTTTTTCAAGTACAAATTACTCTGGTTTACGACAGTTCCCTTAAATTTCATTGTTAGTTTTACAAAACTGCAATAAAACATGGCGACTTTATAATCGAGAAAGTTGTACGACTAACTTCATAGAAGCAGAGACGGTAAACACTGCTGAGGTTGACATGTGGACTATAGTCTGAAAATAGGTGATACGGTTTGCGCGACCATAGTTGTGTAATGCACGCCATACTCATTGTCGCAGTAGGGCGTTCGCTTTGTTAAGAAATATGGCGACCAGTAAATAGAAGCGAAGTGCTGT